GGTACTTCGTACGGTACTACTGGTGATACCTCTTGCGACTCGTGGCAGGCGCAAGCCACGAAGAACAGATCAATCAAATTTAGCATGTGCTTGTTGGAGGGGAGTGTCATCGGATCGAATCCATCAATCAATTGACCCATCCATGTCCTAGCGAATCTGGTGTGGTCTTACCCAAGCACGACACCCAAACAGAACAGCCGGCCACACTATGAGACATGGATAACCATTTAGTGCGTCGTGCAGACGCAGGTCCGAGAGGAAGGGGCTAAGCGCGTGCCGGTCCTAAGATTTTAACATCCACATAACCACACCCACACAAAGCCGCCCAATCGTAATAGGTCCCTTTTTTTTCACACTTGTTATAAAAGTCTACATGTCTGTTTCTAGACTCGGAAGTTGATGCATTGTTCATCCGATCACAGTGCATAGTTGCACCATGTCGCGACTCGATAGCCCGATGAAATCTAGCGGATAGCATCATCAAGGACGCCGATGTTGTGGTCGTAAGATTGCAAATTAGAATTGAGATGGATCAAAAAAACCCGTTGACTGCCCTTGGGCCCTAGCAAAATACCTTGGAATTGGCAATTGGCGTAGAGCATTCCATATTGAGCGTTGAAGCATAATTTCAACGTGGTGCTACACAATAAAAGTACAGTCTGCTCATTCGACTCGAAGGGCTTCGTTGATACTTCCGACTTACAGCATTTCAGTAACTAGTGCAAGTCGCCGCGAGGTGCATTAGCTCGTGGGTCACAGTGGGCAGGCTGGCGTTAGTGTAGCAGCCTGCTAGCTCAGGGCCATCGTAGCATCAGTACGGAGGAATATCCTGACCAAGGTGCTACTGCGAGTTCTCAAATCAATTGATAATGGATCTGTATGGATCCGTACAAAGTAAGCGAGGAGCTCAATCTGACGGAAGATACTTCGAAGAGAGATTGGGAGTGAGATTGGAAAGCCACGTCAAGGTAGGTAGGATCAAACAAACAATACTTCGTACTCGGCCTCGTATCTTGATCAAGTATTATTTGTACATCGATTCAAATATCAATGCGGTAGGGCTGTCAACATGCGCCATACTCCTACTTGTAGACTAGTAGTTTAAGTACGAAGTAAGCATCACGAGTTGAGTGGCACATACAAGTAACTTTCACATCGGAGCCTCGGCCTCGTCGGTCACCTTTTGGTCGACAAAATTCAATAATCAATTTGAACTAGGATGCTCACGCACACCAGTGAGAGTCCGTGCCCTGTCCAAGCTTCTTCTAATAACCCATGCCCGTCATCATGCTTCAAATGATCGTCCCTCGATCCCGTTAGCGTCGAGAACAGGAGGAGTAGCCTGGCCTGGCGTTATCCTTGTCCTATTCCTAGTCAGCGATGTCTGTGTGGTCGGGCCAAACATCAAATAAGGCGAGCTGCCACGCGCCCTCGCATTTATTGCCACACTGGTCATGGCTTGAGGCGACGGTGAATGGTTGTAGTTGCCTCGAAGCTTTGCACGAAGTAATTAGTTCGTAGTATATTGATCGAGGAAAGATCGGCTTGGCGCAGTTTGACGTTTCTCTCTCTCTCTCTCTCTCACACACACACACACACACACACACAACTAATACCACCTTCAGCAAGCGCATGCAGTCAAGAAGAAGTACGAAAGTCGTATGAATTTGTTGATGAATTCATGCCATAACTTTGACATGTTTCCGTGATTCATCAAGCATATTTCTTTGCAGATGCAACCTGCAGTACTTTCTCTCATTAGAGAGAAGTATATCCCCACGAAGTAGATCAATTGATCAGTCGATGTCCCCTTGCCGTGAGCTTACAACCCCCGCAGACCCCTGGACGCCTTGCTCAGACTCGCACGATACTTCCGTCCAGTTTGCGTTCTTAGTGTCAATTGACTCCACCCCACTGCGCAACATATCCGCATACAAATCATCCTTGCAGGGTAGGGCAAATATGACCGAAAAAAGAAAACATTGAAGAAAAGCAAAATAAGGAAATCAAAAGAAGCAGAAGAAGGGAAAAGGCAAGAAGCAGCCTGCCCGCCGTAGCTCCTTGAAACGAGCTCTACATTAGAAATTGCGTATCTGCGAATTCAGCAATGCGTAAAACCCCTCATCTGGACCTTTAGTGGCGTCGAGTGGAGTTCCTACAATCGCCATTTGACCCAAGAACCACATGTGAAGCAGAAAAGGGCCCTCTGATATGCCGGACCGTGGACCTGCTCTCGAGTCACGGGTGTTATAATTTTCGAGGTGCTCCATTGCCAATTGAGGCGTTCTGTGAAGTAGGTCGCCAATGTTGGCTTGGCGACGACAAAAGTCGAAGCTGCATCTCACCTTCTTACGCAATCCCCAACAGCAGGGTCAAGGTAGTTTCGAGTGTGAACGGGGAACAATTACAGAAGCAGGGGTTGGCTTGCCAGCTCGTACTTTCCTCATGTCGCCTGCTGTGCCTCTGCCGTGCTTCTCAACGGCGTTGATTCAGCTGGTACAAAATGTACGGACCCTAACGTGTATCTCTTCTTCATCGCGGGCCAGTCTCTCGTTCAAGCGGCGCAGAAAATACCTCGAGGCAAGAAAGGCCCATGTTTCTATTAATGCTTCTGCCTCGAATCAAGCTCATCTAAAAAGCAATGTACTTCGCCGACCTTAGCTCAACCAAAGCAAGCCCCTCAAGTGCTCTCCTTCCTGCCTCCATCCACCTTCTGCATATCGAAAACTACTTGTAAGTACTTCGTACACTAGTAGTATGATTCATGCTCTTTCCTGGCACATCTCCGCCCGCCCCTTTCCCCGCATCTCTCCGGCATCCCTGTGCTTGTCTTGGTTATTGTTTTTTTCCTGCCCCTTCCGTTGCCATTTGCCTGCCCCCTCTCCAATCCCGTCATCGACGATCACTCAGGTGGGGTGGGTTGAGCCTTTCCCCTGCCCTAGCCTGACCAACCCCGGACGCGGAAGCGGTCGACCTCGGGCCACGGATCGTCGCTCCATGCCCCCCCCCGTCCGAGCCTCAACCTCCATCGCCGAACAAGGGTCAACCTGGCAAGGGACGCAATCTAAAGACGCCATGAAAGGGAAAAAAACACGCCCCCAAAAAATCACGCTTCTCGACTATTTGAACCTCTCTTATCGCCTACAGCAAGCCCCGTCTTTGCATATCGGCTACGCTACACCCTATCATAGCTTTGCCTTCGACGCTAATAACGTTATTTCCGAGATTGACCCCAGGCTTTCATGTCAAGCCCCCCGCGCTGTTTCCTCCACAATTATCGTCAAGGGGGTGATAACACTTTTGATATTTCATATGAAATATCAAACGATTCAATGATTCTGCAACGATCAAATCACACATCATCCCTGCACTCTTCTAGAAAGCACTGCAACATCCGCCGCCTTTCGACAGAAGTGGCCAGGCCTTCCCTGAGATATAATGTACACGATGCAGAATAGTCTCCACTCTAAATCCCGAATCACTAGGGTAGGTAGCTTGTTGCTGTCTCAATATCTTGCCGGTGGCGTTCATGTGCATGCATCGACATCAAATAAACCTAAAGCCCCCATCCACAAAGTCCGCAGAAACGGAAACAAAAACTGCTCATGCTGGTAGGTCAAAGATCCACGGAATGCTGTCTATCAAGGGGCAAAGGGTGATGAATCCAATTTCGGTACTGCCTGCAGGAAGGTCTTGGTTCGGTCGACTAATGGGAGAATGAAGCGTCGATTGTACGAGATCGTGGTGTCCATGGGCCGCGTCTAGAAGGGCCGTGGATCATCAAATTACCTTTCTTTTTCGCCATCGTACTCAGTACACTCGTATATCCTTGAGTCTCGTTGCCGTCCCCGCAAAGGGCGTGGCTCCACAGGACCTTCCTAGCTTCCCGTCTGTCACCTGCCACGGTCATATGAGGCTTCGATTCTCATTGAACATCTCGCCTCAGCTAGTGTAGACTTAATTCGAAGTCCTGACATCTCCTTCGATTCATTGGTCAGGTCTCTCTTTTCGACCGATGATTGTACTTCCTATTCCGGCCACACTAAATAATCTCCACCTATTCGAGGCCGAGAAACTTGAAAGAGGGCATTGACCACACCCAACATCATCACACAATGAGCGACTGGCTTAAAAATTCTTCTACTTCGTACACCAATCCTCTTACACCCGAATGATATTTTAGGACTACGAAGTAGACGTCTTTTCAGAAGGATCAGTTTCTGGGGCGTACTAATGATCCGGAAATCGCCGTCGTTTTACTGAGTGACGTAATATGGTCCAATTGACAACAATACAATCAAGAAGGCACGATTGGGAACAGGACGTCATTGAGGTCTGACACAAACCCGCCAGAGACTCGATGGCCTCGTTATGCATTTCACCTTGCATGTAATGTAGCCTGACTCTTGCCTTAACCCTTCCGTCTGTATTCATAACCGAACCGCTTCTCACCATTTTGAGAAGAAAATGTGACCAAGGAAAAAGAAAACGAAGAAAAAAGAAAAATTCGGACAAAAAGTCGAAGCACCAAAAAAAAAAGAAGAAAAAAAAAAAGACGAAACTTTTACCATCCGAAGACCCTTTCTATAGACCCTCGATGCCAAGCCTTCTGGCACTTTTTTTAATTTCCCTTTCCCCCTGCTCCAGATGCAACATTAATGGCCAGCTACGGCCAGAGCAGGCCAAGTAACAGACGATGAATAAAACGTATCAATATAAAAAAGAGAGGGGGTGAGAGGAGAAAATGAGGAATCTCCTGAGAATTAGAGAAGCTCCAAAGCTGAAGAAGAGAGAGAGAGGAAATAACGGAAAAAGAAAGAGGAAAAAAAAAAGTCCCTGTCGCCATTTGTTTGTTCATCACGTCGTCAATTTAGTATTTCGTGAAGAGGTAACTGAAAATGCAAATCTTCGTTGGTCATGTGCAGTCATGTAGAAGGGCTGAAATCGCTCGTGCTAGCTCGAAACCCGTTCGTCGAGGTACGGGCCATCCGAATCCTTCTTTAATTAGGCGGCGAGAATAGAGGCGTCTTTTCGTTGACAATCTCCCCGTCGCATTTCTCCGTTCGGGCGATAGGCCACTTCGAGGTCTTTTCGGAACGCGTTCGCTCGTCTTGGTAGCGGATGAGATGGCCCCGACCAGGAGGAGTCGTAAGACTCGAGGCTCGCTTGGGACGTGGTGTCAGACGGACGTTGTCGTTCGCATCGGCGTCAGCTCGGCTTCCCCAAGAGGTCTAGAATTTGTGTTAGCACTCGAAAAGCTCATGAGGTCGATACGAAGCCTGTGAATTAGCTCTCCGTCAGTTGGCCGTACCATATTAAGCGTGCAGAGCGCGTAGATCTTGATTAATCCGTGGAAGTAGCCAAAGATAATCGAGACAGGTAGGAACATCACGTCGCTGGGGTTTCGGCGGAAGAGGCCGATCAGCTTGACGACCTTGACGAAGCAGAACATGAAAACGAGCTGCGCCAAAACTACTCGCTTCCGATTCTCAATGTCCCATTCTCCAGTGGCTCGCCATAGCGAGTACACAAGTAAAGGGTCAACGGCAAAGGACAGGGATGAGAACGTCGTGAGGTGGAGGGCATAGGTACACCAGGGTTGTTGACTAGTAGATCAAAGGGTTAGCATTAGGCCAGATGGGAAAGGGTCCGCAGGGGGTGGAGTCATTAATCACTTACGTGAGGACGTAGCGGTCCCGAAAGAGGCTAGTGTAATTGCTTCGCCAGTTACTTCTTGCCCACCTCGAACACTGGTACAGAAACTTCGTGCTGTTCTCGAGCGTCGTCTCGATCTCGCATTCCGGGTGATACTGAACCCACGTCTTCCACTGATGGTTCACTAGCCATCGAGTTACGAAGTTGTCGTCGTCCGCATTGAGGATGTAGCTGCCCCACTTCTCCGTCTTGAAGCCCTCGAGGAAATCGTGGCTCGAGAGGATCTCGGAGCGGTATGCGCCGGTCCTGCCCGACATGCAAGATGTGCCGCCGTCAATGTTGTGCGTCGCCGAAATCTCAAAGTTCCTTCGCTCGATATACGCTGCCCCAAGCCAGTTAAAGATGCGAGCGCTCCAGGGGCCTTCCCAGATGCGGGTGACTCGCTGGCAAGTTCCAACACCACCAATGCGAGGATCCTCGAAAGGAGCAAGGAGCCAAGGCATCATGGTTGAAGGCCAAGTCACGTCGTCATCTGCCATGACTGTAATCTTCGTCCGGACTCTGGGCAGTGCTTCACACACTTGCAGCCGCTTGTTGGCAATTGGGGTATAGAGAACCTGGATGTTATCATAGCCAAGCGAGCCAGCGAGCTTCCTGAGACCATCGTACTTGTCAATTGGAGTTACCAGAATCAGTTCAGCTGGGTTGCAGGCAAGAATGCTTAAAAGTGGTTTTCGTAGCTCCTCGAACACATTGTGGATAGTTGGAATGATGACCGTCACATCATCAGAGGTGAGCGTTGGCTTGCTGGGGATGGGTTTGGACTTGTAACGCCAGTGGCTGATGACATTGCCAAAAAGGCGTACATATCGCCAAAGCCTGGAGACTAGGTTAGACAAGATGGAATACAACCAGGACACAAAGAACGTACCACGTAATCCAGAAAACGTAGATCCAGAACTTTGTTGACTGAACAAAGTCGAAATCCAACTGGACTAGGCCGAAAAGTATTTTGAATGCCATACTTGGAGGCTCGGGTTTGAGGTCACGGTCTCGATATGTAGTCGTAAGACGGCGTTGTACGTTGGACTGTACGACAGGTGAAGAAGAGGGGGAGAAAGCTTGGAAAACGGAGGTTGGAAGAAAGGCAACAACAGTCGAGGAGCAAAGAGGTTTTACTCCCTCAAGCTCCCTGGAAGAAACTCTGTAGAAGTGTTCTTCAGTTGTTCCTATTCTCTCTACCTTTCCAGTTGGGACCCCTTATAATCGGAAAGGAGACTTGGCCGGGGGGGTTTGTATATGATGTTGGTGGGTCTGAGAGCAAGAGGCGCTCTTCCTGTGAAAAGACTTTGGAGTGGATATAATTTCGGTTGATGGGCTCGTCCCCTTTCCCTCCTATTTGCCTCCGGGGCAACCCTAGAATGGGATGGTTGGGTCGGTACGCTACAAGCCGCAAGGAGGCCTAGAAGTGTCGAGGCCGTATTTTGAAGACGTTTGGAAAGCAGCGGAGACCGAATGCCGAGCTGGATCGACGAGAGAGTGTGTGGGCGTATATGGGTTATAAAAGTGTGGGAGGTGGTCCTTATTCCCTGGAGTTCTATGGGAAATATGGGTTTGCCACTTAGGATGTAGTTCTCAATATATTTTGAGAGTCACTACACTAGGAAGCAGTAACACTATGCTTCCAGGTCACAGTCCTCTAGGTAGGGAAGGTAGGTAGATAGAAAGCCGCGGAGGCTCTTTTGTTGCTTGGAGAGCTGTTATAGTAAAAGGATGGGCGAGTGCTTTGAGGAGAAGGGTCTCGATGAGCATGGGCTTTGTGGAAAGTACGCAAAACAATAAACGAGAGTGTGAAAGAAGATGTGATGTCTCAACACCAGCCAGCATCTGACATATACCGGAGAGGCAAACAACCAGCAAACACAAGGACGTAATGTACAGGCAAAGGAAACTGACAAGATCCAAAGAAAGCCAGACCATTGCCAAGACCAATCGGTCTTAGAGTGAGCAGGGACTGGCGGGAAAGGGCAAGCGGGAGAGAAGGTTGATGGGTGAATCGGCTAGTGATCGAGATGTTTAAGGACAAGAAGTCCGGGGAGAGCAAGGATATATAAACCCGGACGGGCTAGCTATTGCGGACAGACTGGAGTCGGGAAGGGAAGCGCCATGGACCCATTGCATTAAGACGGCGTTTCTTTAAACAACTAAACTACATGCCAATACCTGGGACTGTAAAAGAGAGCGACCTCGATGGCAAAAGTCGAGAAATGTGTGCGCAAGGTACAGTACGTACATACGGCGAGGTACCTGGAATCCACAGGGATGCATTGGTGGGCTAGCTAGGTGTCCATACGCCGTGTACATCAATGTAATGTAATGTCATGTAGGCAAGCCCCTTTGCTAGTCAGAGAGTACAGGAAGGGAAGTGTGGGAGTGTGTGGGCGTGAAAAGTGACAGTGGGCGTGTGAGATAAAAATTAGCGTGTGGGTGCGTATGCGCATGTCTTGTGCGAGTGTGTGTGTGCGTTTGCGTGTGGTGGGTGGGCGTATGAGAGGAGCATCGAAATGGCTCCATGGAGGCGAGACGGCGCGCCGTGATTGCCGCCGCTACTGGGAGTTCATCAAAGAACAATACAGAAACTGCGACGCCAACGAACTAGATGGGAGTGATTCAGTTTGCCGGCAATCCTGCAACTGTACATTTGACTCGTCGAAGGAAAAGAAGAAGGGAAAAACGAATTCGAAGCCAGACATATGTACAGGTAAACCTACAGTATCATCGGTGTTCTGGGAGGGGTGTAAGCGAGCGGGTCATGGAGGGCGTGTAAATGCAACTCTGGCTTGCCTCAGGGGAACGCGACGACAACAGGGAGTTGAGCTTGTCAGGCTGCCGGAAGACGGAGCAACAATAGTACGAGTTGGCCGTGGTGAAGGTGCCGGAGACGGTACCATCCAACCTCTGTAAAACGGATCTACCTTCTGACACCTGCCTCGAGTTTAAAACTGATGGCGCACTCCACGCGTGTTGTGAACGGAACAACTTCACAAGACCTATGTTGGCGAACGATCAACTCTCGAGTACTTTGATGGTACATGGACTGGTCGATGTTCTACTCACAGGCTTGGGTGAATTGATTCTCCCAATCACAGGCCAGTTTAATCGGCTCGACCATGCCATCACTCCAAAAAAACACACACTATAAATGGAGATGTGCAGTGCACGCTATAGTTAGCTCCAAACAGAATATGCCTCTCCTAGCCTAGTGTGATTAGTATACGCGCAGAGAGCTCCTCACGGGAAAAGGGAATGTCGAGCATATCGTGAACCGAGATCTCATGGAGTAAATTAGTGTAATTGTTTAATTCAAGCGTCCCGTTCTCGTTCTGTCGTACGCTTCCGGTTTGTGCGTACTATTTGCAGTTGCATGTCAGCGGAGGTTTTGCCAACTTTGCACGTGTGACAGGGGCTCTCGACCGGCGACCTCGGGGCTGCAGAAAGAGTATGGAGGACTGATCAATCACATCTCTACGAGATGGTAACTTGCAAAAGACCACTTTGCCGTCTGTACAGAATGGCGCAAATGCTTGACTTGCACTGATCGATCCTAGGAGAGCCCTGTCGCTGTTGCTCCATGCGGGGATTTCCTAGTCCTCCGAGCCTGGCCCGGTCAGGCTAGGGGGGGCCCGCTGCGTAAAATTGCATTCACTCTTGCAGACACATCCATTCTCGGCCTGTGGATGGAGTGGGCACAACTGCAACATCATCCAACCCTCATTACACGTAGATACGGGAGGTTGACCACCATGCAGGTTCGGACGGGAAGAAACGGCAACAAATATGAGAGAATGGCTACGCCGTGCGCAGGCGGCAACCCCATGGAAGGGCTTTCGACGGTAGGTTAAGCAAAAAGTAAGATGCTCAATTGGAATGTGCCCCGTCGATGATAACAACCGATCAAGCCGATGGAATTGCGTACTTTGTCCCTTACTGACTGTTCCCGGTGAATATGGTGCCATCGCAAGATGCCAGCAGGCAGCATCGGGTCGGGGGTTCGCGCGGAGTACGTCTCACCTCACGGGCAGGCGTTTGGGGGAGGATTCCACTCGGCCTAGGGCCTGGACTAGTGTAGTGTACCATCGAGGAGAGCTCTGGATGGCACTGCCCGCGCTCCATTCATAGTTGTCTCTGACAAGGATCAAGATCGACCAGCTTCGGCGGCTAAAGAAAGTTAGATGATGCCAATTATTATCCCAAAACGGGTACTATTACTTGAGGAGCGCTTGAGTCTTGACACACCAGTGCTCCTCGGTCTTTGCCCTTTCATGTCTGTCCATTGGACGACTCCCCACTCTCGATACCACCAAATGCAGGCACGGAACTCGGAGGGAGAGTGTACTTGTAGCATTCTTGCAATCCGTGAGACGAGGTGGCTGAGAAGCCCACAGGTAAGACGGCGAACGTGACTGACATCGCGAGGCGAGGAGCAAGATCATTTCAAGCGAGATCAAACATGCATTGGGAAAGGGAAGGACGGCAGAATTATTGGGGGCCTCCCCAGAGACACGGGCGGGGTAAATTAACAGAGAGCGGAAAGACTTGGTGACACCGAGTTTCACCTGTCATCGTCGAGTCTCCATGTAGACAGCGACACTGACCGAGGAAATGAGGCAGGAAGTATTAGTGTACAAAGCAAGGTACATACATTGCACTACATAATAAGTCAAGGTATTGATGGATCCGAGTTGAGTGTTGAATTGTTATTGACATGGAGCATTAATCCTCCCTTTTTGCGAAGTACTGGACAGGGATTTATGTATGTTCAGGCTCAGTTTGAAGCATACATCGATCTCGATCCAATACAAGTACAACACCAATTGATTCCATTAATCACTCTCCTGGTGGTATTTTGATTCTCTGGCGGGTCAAGGGCTGCTACTTCCTCCACCACTAGCACCACCTGGGTCCATGTTTCCGCCCAGTTTCTGCGTACCTTTTTCGTACAATTGTACGAAGTACGTATCACTGCCAAATTAATGCTGCAAAGGTACAAAGTACTGTACTCTATTTCCACACTTTGCCAATATCCGAACCGAATAGAATCTCTCAGGTACAACCTCCATCTTGTGGATGGCTGGCTCAGCCCGCCTTCAGTCGATGATGGATGAGACCATGTTGGCGAGGATTGTAGGGCTCGCATGAGCCAGGCCAGGGCCGGTACCAGACACTACGACACGACGTAGGCTCGGCTCTAAGGTCCGATCCTCAACAATTCTCTTAGAACTTCCGATGAGCAGCCCGTATTAGACGATAACTTTCGAAATGGGCGTCCGCTCGCGGCTCTTACCAATCGGGTTGCTAATCAAGCTGCTTTACATTCCTGAGCCCTCTCGTATATACGAAGTACTATGCAACTGGGAGACCAGCGCCCGCGGAGCATCTTCATCGCCATGGGTGCATCGAGTTGATCAAGTGAAATGATATGCTCCAGCATCAGAAGTTCAGAATCGTTCTACTAGTACAGCTCGTGTTTTTCCCCAAATGCCAAAGGGCATTAGGCCATTTCGTCGATCAACGTTACATGAAGTGTCGCGTGCGAATATGCAAGCGCAGACACAACCTCATCAACGACGGACTTACACACGTATGCCCGCCCGCGTCCCCTTCAAGGTCCCCCAACTTGAGATCTGACTGCCTCGTCGGCAAGGGGAACCTCCCGTCTAGGTCTATAGTGTATGAAGTACACTAGTCTAGGTCCATGTCTGCCCCAACTTGGCGCAGCGAGGATAATACCTATGAAGTCTGTACAATGGTAGCCTACATTTTGATAGCGACGCTTGACCAGACTGCCTTATCCGCGTTTTCCATTTAATTCCCCCCAAGCCATGTCCCCACGCTGCGTCGGCGCGTTGCTTCGTACCTGTGTATTCCTCGTGCTTTCGAAAACGCCAGCTTCAAGCAATTGGCACATACAGGTCGATTGGTGTCTACTACGCTTATCTTGAAACTCAATTTTGACTACCATT